ACGGCCCCCCAAAACCCTGCAGTCCCCCACCCGTCTTTGCCCCCCTCGTCTTCCCGGCTCCACCTTCAGATCCGCTCCCTCGCCCTCAGCACGGCTCCTCTGCTGCTGGGGCCTCAGTCATCCCTGTCCTAGCTGCGCCCGTTTCCCCTGCTTCGGTTCACTCCCTGCTCAGAGAATTCCCTTACGTCCAGGGTGGATCTTCCCAAAGCCCTCTGTGTGCCGTCTTGCCCACAATAAGACCCCAAGTCCTCGGGGCCGGCCCAGTGGCACAGCGGTTAAGTGCGCACGTTCCGCTTCTCGGCAGCCCGGGGTTCGCTGGTTCGGATCCCGGGTGTGGACATGGCACCGCTTGGCACGCCATGCTGTGGTAGGCGTCCCACATATACAGTAGAGGAAGATGGGCACGGATGTTAGCTCAGGGCCAGTCTTCCTCAGCAAAAAGAGGAGGACTGGCAGTAGTGAGCTCAGGGCTAATCTTCCTCAAAAAAAAAAAGACCCCAAGTCCTGCGGGGCCTGCTCTGGGCTGGCCTGCCCCTCCCCTGCTCTCCCCACTCGGGGCCTTTGCTCAGCTGTGTGGGAGCCTGGGTTGTCCCCTTGGTGCCTGATCTCTTCCGACGCCCCAGCCCCCAGAGGCCTGTGCTCCGTGGTGAGGGCCTCCCACAGACGTGGTCTCCTTGCCCTGTTCCTTTCTGTCTTTTCCTCGTATCCCCTCCACCTTATCTGCCTATTTGGCGTTTGTTTTTAATCTACTTTCCCTGCTGGGACGTGGGCTCTGAGCCCAGCAGAGGTGTGGAGGTGACCTTTCCCTGGGAGAACTTGGCGCCCTTCTCCCGAGAGGAGAGACCACGTGCGGAGCGGTGGATGCATTCACGACCCCGATCTAGAGCTTCTGCAGCCCTGCCGCGACAGGCAGTGTCTGATTGCGGAGGCTGCGGGTTCTGGAGGTCTTGCGGGCCGTGGAAGGGACTCGGTTTGTGCCTCAGAGAGCTGGGGGGATTCGCGCTGTGTGTGTTCGCTGACAAGGCTCAGCTGGAAGGAGAGCAGGGCTGCCAGGCGACACCCAGGAGAAGCGTCCGGTTCTGCTGAGAGGCTGCTCTCCCCCCGCCCCCGATTCTGGCGAGGATTCCGCTTCTGGCCTGAAGGGCTGGAGGAGAGACTTTCCAGGGTCCCTCCCAAGGCCACCCACTGGGCGCTGGGGCTTACGCACAGAGAGGCCCCTGGAATACCGTGGGGTGGTCGTCCCAGCGCTGAATTTATCCCGCAGGTGGTCTCGCTCGCCCTGAATTTTGCCATTCCAGGAGTGGAGGAAGGACAGGCACCAGGCAGGGCCGGCTGGAGGTGGATGGGGACATTCGAGTGGTGGGGACCATCTGTGCGAGACCCAATCGGAACGAGCTCATGAGCCCAGGCAGGGGCGGGCAGGCCCGCAACCTCCAAGGAGACTCTGGAGCTGCTTTCTGTGCCGTTGTGGACGAGGGCAGGTGGAGGCGCGATGCCAGGGTCTCAGCTGTCTGGGACTGTGACCGGGCCGCAGCCGGGTCAGAGCTGGCCGCCGGCCAGGATGTGCAGCGTGGCGTCCTCCGAGGTCATCAGGTCGATGTGGGGTGAGCTCTGGGGCAGCAGGTCCTGACAGCAGCTCCGGTCACCCACTCGCGGTGAGGGAAGTGACGGGGTGACAGCAGGCCACATGCAGTGCCACTTCTGGAAGTCTCTCAGGCAACTGGCAAGGGCTTAGGGGACCTCCTGGGCCAACCCCCGAGCTGGAGTGGCACACACCGCACGGGGCCAGGCAGACACCCACTTCTGAGGGGGTCACTGGACTGGCCACAGACCCCGCTGGGCTCTGGGAGGGCTGTCCTGGGACAGCTCAGCTCCTTGGGGACACCAGAGAGGCCCTGGGATGGTGGGGGACCGGGGGAGGCAGGCCTGGAAGAGGGAATGGTGCCATCAAAGGGGTTCTTGCCCGTGAGCTGGGTGAGCCATCTGCAGAGAGGGTGTCGGGCCGTGTGCACAGGGAACCCCAGTGTTGCCCGGAGTCTGGAGCCTGCAGGTGCCCAGGAGACACGTGCCGAGGAGCGAGTTAGCCGCCCGTGGCTTCTGTGTCAGGAAGTCGGCCTCCTCCGGAGACCATGGGGCTGCCTGGGGAGGTCGGGGGCGGGGGCGGGCTGCATCTGAACTCCAGAGATTACGGCTACGGGCTCTCTGTCAGGCAGGCCCTCCCCTGATGGGCCTGGGGTTGGGGTTCCAGGTGGGGCCAGCGCTCCCCTTCCGACCTTGACGCTGGGTGCTCTCTGCCAACCACCGACGAGGACCACGTCACGTCTGCCCTCAGGACCGGCCAGGATGCCCTCACTCAAGGACTTGGGGGCTCTGACGTGAGTTGGTTCATCTTCACGTCTTTGTTCCTTTGGCCTCTGATCGGGAATTCTGCCCGACAGGAATTGGCAGGCGCCCCTTCGGCACAGCGTGGCACTGTGTCCTCCAGAGGCTGCGCTGGGTCGAGGCTGTGGTCACCCACAGAAGCGTTCTCGCGGGGGCCACGGGCTGGGCTGCCCTCCTCTCCCGGCTGATGCTGACGAGGCGGCGTGGCCTCGTGATTCACGGCCGCTGCCAAGGAAGAGCGTGAGCTGCGGGGTAAATTCCATCTCTGCAGGGTGGACCCCAGGGAGGACCAGCCTGGCCGTCGGGGAGCCGGAAGGTCAAGGCGGAGGCTGCGGGGACACAGCTGCCAAATTAGACGCAGGCTTTTCATTTTCCTCCGGAGAAGTGGAGGCGCCTGGCCGTGCTGGGAGGCCAGAAAGCTGCCTTCCGAGCCTTTTCTTTGTTTTTGTGTGTTTTTTCATCACAGCAACACGAGGGCAGGAAGTTCAGTCAGGTATAATTTCTGCAGACGATTTCTGCGTGACCTGCGCACGACGACCGTTCTGTTTGTATGCGGGGATTTCACGGGATCAGCCCCAGGATCCCGCTTCCTCGCAGAGGCCGAGGGAGGGTTTGTCTCCAGCCGCACTCCCTGAGCATCCGGGACTTTCCCGGTTACCACGGGGCTCACGTCCCACCTCAGCCACAGTTCCCGGTGCACTCCCGCCGCCGTGCGTGCTCCTGCAGGAGGCTCGGTCTGCTCCCCATGGGGCCGTTCCTGCCTCCCTTGTCTGAGGGGAGAGGCCAGGGCCCTTCTGTGCCCGTGATGGCAGCTGCCGCCTTGGGCTACGATGCTTCACAGGCCCCCCCACCCGTCTCTGCTTCTCTCCAGCTCTCGGAGCAGCCGCTGCCTCCCCTCGGGGCCCGTCCCCGTGCAACCCGTTGACCCAGAGCAGCCGTGCACGACACTAGGTTCTCAGTGGCCCGGCTGTGGAAACTCCAGCTGGAAGTGAGTCTTCCGCTCAGGCGAGGCTTGTGCCAGCGGAACTCGCTGCTCAGCTCCCCGGGGCTCTGGGTTCTCTTCCGTCAATTCCTCATAAAATGTCAAAGTGTCGGACCTCGGGGGACCTGGTCGCCTGCTGTTTGTGTCACATCTGCACTGCGGCGCCTAGACCACTCGTGGGTCCTGGCAGGCACGGAGGAGCATTTGTCCAAGGCGTGGCTAAGTCAGAGCTCCACACCCATTTTTCCGGATGGGGAAACCGAGGGCTGGTTCAGAGACCCCCAAAGGACTCGGGCGACAGCTGAGATTTGCAGTGTCGGGGGACCATTTTCATCTGGAAGCAACACGTGGGGGCTTGGCCTCTGGCGGGGGTGAGGGAAGGGGCTCGTCCACGGAGAATGCAGAGAGCTGGCAGCTCCCCCTCCTTGGAACAGCTCAGAGGGAGCACGGCCCTCGAGTCCCCTTCTGTCACCCAGAGCAGCCATTGGGGCTTTCCATCAAAACCGAAACTCAAAGCTCTGATGTCAGACCAGCCAGTGTCTACCGACTCCCTCTGCTTTGTTGAACAAATAAATAATTCAGATCAACAAGGATGGAGAGGCGCGGGGCCATCCAGAGCACAGCAACCAGGTGCTCGGCCCCTCAACCACGGGGTGGGAGCTGCCCCGGTAACGAGAGAGAGCAGTTTCTGCCGCTGTTCTTAAGGCTGCAGACAAGACCTGCACATGGACGTTGTGCTCAGGTTGGCAGCTCCATCTCCATGAGGTCGGATTAGCAATTCCAAAATCACTTTATGCACGTTCCAGGGCCGCAAAAATAAATACCAGCCTTGTGGATCCTGAGAGCCGGTCCTCTCTGCTGTGGGGGACATTGCAGACAAAGAAGGGTCACTGGTGTGGCTCTGAGGGGTCAGCACTCGGGGCATCTGAGGGAAGGACATCTGGGGATGTATTATCTTTGTACTATTCTTGCTGTTTGTTTTGGTAAACCTGAAATTATTTCACAAGAAAGGTAAAAAAAATTTTAAGAAATGGCCAAAAAATGTAAGAAAATGTTCTTAACCTCAGAGAAATCCAAATTAAAATAAAAATAAGGCTTTTTCTTGCCCATCAGATTGGCAAAACTTAAAGATTAATAACACAAAGTGTCGTTTGGGAGGAGGAGCTGGGCGTTAGGCTGTGGGAGGGAGGGAACGAGGCAGCAGGCACGTGCCCCCTGTCTCTCCTACAGAAAGACTCACACGCACGCCCAGATCTTTTATATAGAACACATTTAGGGTCGTTGTAACAGAATTTGTAATAGGAAGAAATTGCAGACCGTTTACACACCCCCGTGGACACTGGGTAAATAACCCTGATCGTGAGGTGCGTGCAGAGGGGCGAGGGACTGAAGGCCCAGTCCAGGGCCCTCCGGTCCACCTGTCGTGTGAAATCAAACAGTAAGAATGTGCCGGCTCGGGGCGAAATCTGCCCGGATCGTCCTGGGCGGTAAGTCCCTGAGGCCAGGGGCGGCGTGGTGCGGGAGATTCTGCGGGAGCAGCAGCTAATCCCTGGGCGGGACTGTGGGCGGGTTTGTGATTGGACAGAGGCTCCTGTGGGACACTCAATGCCCGCTCCCTCTGTGTTTCCCCTTCCAGCTGGTGGCAGCCGTGGTGTTCCTCAGCTTCGGCGTGGCGGCCGCCTTCTGCTGCGCCACCGTGGACGGCGTCTTTGCCGCTCGGCACATCGTGAGTCCCATCTTCTTATTTTGTTCTCTATCACTTTCCCGGGTTTAAAGACCCTACCTCACAAAATGGAATCCCGTCTCGTAGGACTTGGCTCACCGACCTCCACGTTTCTTTCTCCACTTGTATTTGCCAAAGGCTACCTTCCCTTCTCTCAGTTTTTCTTGTTTCCTGCAAAAGTGACCCCAACATCCTCCCCACTCCCTCTGCACCATCACCTCCATTAGAGTCAAATGCTGCAGCTTCGCAGGGCCCTCTCCTCGGCTCTCTAAACGAGACGAGGTGCAGCCCCAGGTCTGCTGCCTCGTGACTCCCCTGGGTTTGTGGTTCAATACGTCTCTCTTGTAAGATCATGACAGAGCCTCCAGGTTGGCGCGGTCGCCTGTGAAGTCCTTTCCCGCTTATTTGTTGAATGCTGTGGGAGCCTGAGATGGAAGAATCTGCCGGTGGTTGTTTACACTGGAGCCAAGTTGGGTCAGGACACACACGTTCGAGAAGCGTGCCTCCTGTGCGGCTGCGGCACAGAACACCACTCGTGTTGATTCAGCCTTATCTGAACAGGGTCTGGGGAAAGAAGGGAGAGATTGGTGAGGGTGACGGTTATATGAACGTTAAATTGTGTTAAAACCAGTTATGGAGCCAAGTCAAGGGCAGAAGGTGAAACCCATCGTCTGTCATGTAGGATGTTTTTCTAACCTTTTTTCCATGTTTATAGAAGATTTGTTGTTACGTCAGGAAATGGTTCTTCCCGGTTCACCGCAGGCAGACTTACAAACGAGGCAAATTACAGGAGTCTGGGCATCTTGTCAGTTGAGCTGAATGCAGCGCGGCGGCAGAGTTGTATTGGGAGCGCTCACGTCTGGTCGTCAGCGTCCCCACTGCCTTTCAGACAGACAGCGTCGGTCACGTGTAGCGCTGTCGTCCGCATTCCTCCACCCAATGTCACCTTTGACCTGCGAAGTCAGAGGCCGTGCCACAAGTGGTCCAGAGATGCCCCGTCCAGCTGGAGCGTCTTCTTGGCCCCCGTTCCAGCGAGGCAGGCACAGTGCACTGACGGTTCTCTTTCTCGAGAACCACGAGTGGACCTTTCAGGGCCTTAGACAGACGTGACTGGGCCGAGATGCAGACCTGCCTCATGTTCCTGCTGCCCCCAAGCTCTTCACTGAGCGGCGGTGCAGGGAGGCGTGGCCAGGGCCTGTGCTGAGCCCTGAAGGTTCGTGTCCCCCCATACGTGTTGAAGCCCAGCCCCACATATGGTGATGGCACGGGGGAACTCTGGGAGGCGGAGCCCCACGAATGGGATCGGTGTCCTTATAACACAGGCCCCAGAGAGCTCCCTCGTCCCTCTCACCTGTGAGGACAGAGAAGACGCCGTCTGCAGGCCGGGAGGCGGGTCCTCACCAGACCGACTCTGCCGTGCCTCGTCCTGAAGGCCCAGCATAGAGCGCGATGCTAGGGGCAATGCTGACTCAGGAGACGGGAAAGCCCTGGTGCCGAGGCAGCCGGCCCCACGTCCTTCCGCAGCCCGAGCCCACTCACTGTCCACCATGCCCCCAGCCTGAGCTGTGCAGAGAGCCTGGCGGCCAGGGAGCTGCGGTGAGACGGACAACAAAGTGCAGGCTTTTCAGCCAGAGAAGGCTGGGTTCGAGCTCGGGGCTCAGCCAGGGGCTTCCAGCCTCCTTATTGGTAACGGGATTGTTCTTAGCTCTTAGAGTGTGGCCGAGGATGCAAGAAACCGTGCACGCCTTTCAGGGTCTGCCCAATCAAAGAAGCCTGTGCCTCCCTGGGCGGACCATGTTTTTTCAGTTGAAATGAGGCGTGGACATTTTGGGAACCACAGGCAGAGGCTGGACGAGGTTTCACACGCCTGGTTTTTCCCCTATAAATACAGGGCCCAGCAGCAATAGCTGGATTTCACTGAGGAAATTGTATATGATGTTTGAAGATGGGCGTCTTCAACTGAGTCCTGAGGGTTCCTGCCTGGCTTGTGACCTGGGAGAGGATGAGGCCGGGAGCCGGGGTGAGGGGCGGCCCACTCCAGGCTCTGCAGGCGGCCAGACACAGACAAGGCCTAAGGCAGGCCGGGGCGGGGTCGTGGACGCCAGGTGGAATCCCGCTGCAGTAAGCAGGGGCCGAGTGAGTGGTCCAGCTTCCCTGAGAGCCCACCACGCCTGCCTCGGAAGGAAGGGGTGGGCCTGTGTCCTGGCCCAGCACCCCACCAGAGCCTGCGAGGAGAACAGGCTGGCGTTTCTCTGAGGCCCCGTGTCGTGGGTGACGCGTGTACTGCCCACACCAGCCAGGCATGTTAGACTTCGCCGGTTCACGCTGACGTGGATGCTTCGAGTATTCTGATAATTATGAAGTTTCTTAGGATCTTGAATGAGCTGGCGCCCGGTGTTAACAGGAAGTTAATCTGGGCAGAGTCTGTGCCTCGTAGTTCTCTACTCTTGCAACTATTCTGTAAGTTTGAAATTACGTCCAAATAAAAGGCTTAGAAAATGCCGGCACTGTGGATCTTTAATGAAGGGCCTGGCGTCGGCCTCCCAGTCAGGGTTTGACGTTAAAGCTGCAGTATGATGGGTCCCTCCTGCTGCCTCAGTCCCAGTGCCTCCCGAGGGCTCAGGTTCCACGAGATGCCCCCGGCCTCACACAGAGCCCAGAGCGGATTCCTTGAGTCCGTGGCCTTTCTTTCTTCTTTCATTGGTTTCCAGCTGTCTTCCGGCTGCACGTGGCCAGTGTCCCGGGACTGGCCCATCCTTCCAGGGCTGGCCTCATATCTGGGAGGACAGGGAGGTGACGGGTGAGGAGCGAGTTTCCAGGTTTGAGATACGCAGTCTGGCTCTCCAGGGAGATGGTTATTGTTGGACAATCGAGAAACCACTTTGCCCACTGCCCTTTTCTGCAGACTGTAATCGGCTTTGGGTACTTCCCGAAGTTATAACTGAAGATGCCAACAACAAGAGACAAAAATGTGGGGACGTCAGGGAGCGGAGACAGTGCGTCTCCGGAACAGACAAGACGGGCGTGTGGAGGCGCGAGCGTGATGGGAGGCACCAGCCAGCACCCAGCCTGATGGCCTCACTGCCGCCACCTCTGAGGACTGGGGCCCCGGGAGGGGCTGCCATGCCCCCCTCAGTGTCCCGGTGGCTCCCACGGTGCCAACTGTAGGTGCTGGGGCCACATAAATGATTATGAACATCTGCAACGTAACCATTTCTCAAAGGACTGGGCGCCTGTCAGCTCATTTTCTGGTTAAATTCCGGGCACGGGGTTCAGTCTGCGCCTGGACCACGCTCCCTCCCTTCTGTTCGCTCCCATTTCTGAGCCAAGTGGGAGGAGGACTGGCGTCTGGCAGCAGTCTTGGGAACCCTGGTTCTGGAAGGAAAAGTGCAGCCCGCCTTCCTGGAGGCGGGGTCCCGGCTGGGCCCCTGTGTGTGCCAGTCTTCCCAGGCGCCCCTCTGCTCATCTGAGAGACATCTCCTTCAAAACCAAGGTCCCCAAGGGGAAGAGCCTCCCCCTGCGGTGCGGGGGGGGGGGGGGGGGGGCGTGCGTCTCCGCCATCTTGTTTCCTGGATGAATGGGTCTCATTGAAGCGACTCGTCTTCACAGGCAACGTGGAAATATCGCTGGACACGGTTCCAGGCTCCTTTGTTCCAGAGTCACCGGCCGCCCATGAAGCGGAACGTCGGCCCTGGTGTCGGAAGGTCGTCGCTGGCAGGAGATCTGTCAGGAATTGGCCTCCCCGCCGTTTCCACACAGTGGGGCATTCGGTCAGCTGTTCTGGATGGGCAGACACCTGGGGTCGCGGTTCATTATAGAGAAGTGGTCAATACTGGGGGTCACTCGGCCAGGCCTCCTGTTCCAGCTCAGGGTGGGCTTGTTCTGACAGAGCAACCCTGTGGTCACCACAGAGCGTTTAATTCAGTAGCTAATCTGGGTTGTTTTCAGCTACTGGCTGCGCAGCGCCAGCACCAGGTGTGAGGTGTCCTCTTGCCTCCTGGGCAGCTCCTGGCTCCTTCATTCATCTCACGGCCGCTTGCTGAGGTCCTGCCTGTGCTGGATGTGCAATGGACCTGGGCAGCTGCTTCCCTGGAAAGGGCCAGAGAGTCAACACGTCAGGCTGGTGGCCATGTGGCCTCTGTCACGGCTGCTCAACTTGGCTGTCGCTGCATAAAAGCAGCCCCAGGTGATACGCGGACGAATGAGCACAATGGTGTGCCAATAAAGCTTTATTTACAAACTCAGACCGTGGGCTGGGTTTGGCCTGAGGGCTGTGGTTGGCTGACCCGGGCAGGTTTTTCTGGGCCGGGTTGGCCCGAGGGCTATGGTTAGCTGACCCCTGCAGGTTTTAACTGAGCTTTAATGATTAATGTGATGTTTTAGTGTTAATTTATGTACAGCTGTGTGAAATGCTCCTCCTGAGCCCCTGCTGCCCACACTCCGGAGCCAGAATGACACGGACTTAGAGATTGAGGGTTATCCCTGGAGAAACACGGTTTCCAGTTTCATCGTAAATTTGAAAACTAAGTTTGTGTGATTTATCTGGGGCTAAAATGGGTTGCAGTTTTATTTAATTCAAAACTAATAACAATTATTTCATCCTGATTGAACAGTAAAGATCAGATGGAAAATGACACCAAACCACCGTGCTTCCGTGTTGGGAGAAGGCTTCACTGAAAAGCCCACGTTTTACACCAAGTCTTCACTGCTGATTTAAGATGACGCTCAGCCGGGAGTTGACTCAGCTCCCGAGCTGCTGTGGGCTGGGTGTCTCTTCCCCAAAATCCGCATGCTGCAGCCCCAACTCCTGTGTGATGGTGCCTGGAGGGGGGCCTCTGGGGGTGATTCGGGTGAGAGGAGGTCATGCGGGTGGGGCCCCGAGGTGGGACTAGGGTCTCTATAAAAGGGACCAAGCTCTCTGCCCTGTGAGGTCACGGTGAGAAGGCAGCTGTCCACAAGCCGGAAGAGCGTCCTCCCAGAACCCGATGGTGCTGGCACCCTGACCCCAGGCTTCCAGCCTCCAGAACCGGGGGTGTTAACGTCTGTGGTTGAAGCCACCCTGTCGGTGGTTTAGGGTGGCCCGAGCAGACTGAGACAGAGCCGATGGTCCAACGTGTCCTCCTAGGCCTGGGCGGCCAGCCTCGAGCTGGGCTGCACCTAGACCAGGGGGCATGAGGCGACGTTTCGTGCCGCGAGGCTGGACCCTTCAGCAGGGCGTCCAGTCTGAAAGGGCCTTTCTGCATGATTGTTTGGAGGAATGAGGGCGACTGGCCACACGCATGACTCCTCAGAACCCAAAGCTTGTCACCGCATGTGGACTGTGCTGCCGTGCGCACTGGCCAGATTCCCCGGGCCTGGCAGACGCCGAGCCAGACGTGCTGACGCGAAGGCCTCGTCAGGACGATGCCGTGAAGGGAAAGGAGGAGCAGAATGGGCAGCAGGTGCCCAGCAGAGTGTCCCCATGGACGGAACCGGCCCAGACCCACAGCCTCATCCTGTTGGAGCTGGGGCCTGAGAAGGGCTGAGGAAGATCCCGTATGGCAGCCCCACCCTGCCTTCCCAGGCTCCTGACTCTCCACAGCCTTTCCCACCATCCTACATGCTCCACGTGCATTTCCCACGGGAAGACAGACTCCACAAGGATGGAGCCTGAGCTCCGTTCCACCTTCGCTGTGTCGTCCGGGGCGGGCCTGGTGTGCAGCGGTCACCATCCATCAGCAGCGGCGGCCAGGGCCACTGTAGTTTATCCCCTCCTCTTAGATCAGAAGTAGGAATGCTTTGAGAAATACAACTAACACAGTGATAAAACTGCAGTTATTGGGATCCTAACTCATTTTATAACTTCAGATTATAACTTCAGGTTCTCGGCATCTTATAGCTTCTGTGTGCTCCTTGCTGTTCTCTACCGGAGCAATTATAAGCATTTTGTAATCATCGGTTTATTTTTCTGTCTCTTTCATTAATCCCCTAAGGGTGAGAACTGTGGCTTACCTGGGTACTTTTATAATTTGGCATTGTATCTGCTCCATGAATGTTGGGGACAGACTGGTGGATGGATGGTTGGATAGGGTCTTAGGTGGATACGTGCTTGGATAGTTGGTGGGTGGATGGATGCATGGAGGAAGGGAGGGAGGGGTGAGGCGGATGGGCGGGGGGGTGGATGAATGGAAGGATGGATGGATAGATGGAGGGAGGGATGGATGGACAGATAGATGGAAGAATGAATGGAGGGATGGATAGAGGGATGGATGGATGGAGGGAGGGGTGGATGGACAGATAGATGGAAGAATCAATGGAGGGATGGATGGTTGAATGACTGGGTGATTAGGTGGATGGTTGGGTGGTTGGGTGGATGTCTGGCTGGATGAGTGAATTAGTCTGAAATACTTTCTGCTCCCTTCCTAGTAAAAAAACATGTTTTGTTTTCAGGGAAGGAGGCAGGAGCCAAGGATCTCCTTGTTGAGAGTTGTAGGGTGCCCCTCAAAAGGTTACGCAGCCACCTCCCTTCAGCTGCCCTGTGTGAACCGGTGCGAGGAGAAGATGTGTCAGCCCAGCCAAAGGGACAGGGTGCCGCTCCCCTGGGGTGTCCTGCGCGCAGGAGCCCAGCTGCTCAGGAATGAGCTGTGGTATTTTCTGCTTCACGTCCTCCACCTGGCAGCCTCGAGTTGGTGTTAGTGTCTCTCCTTTAGGCTCAGGGCCCATGGCCAATGGGTCTGAAGTTGCCTCTGGCTGCTCCTGATTTGGGGATGAAACCGTTCCATCCCACATGTGTTTCTCTGGCTCTAGGAGACGAGGCCCCTCACCACAGGGAGATGCCAGTTCTACTCCAGCGGGGTGGGGTACCTGCAGGACGTCTACCAGACAGAGGTAAGCAGGGTGCTGACCCGCGAGTCTGGTTTTGCTCTGCTGCTCCGGGGGTCCCACAGCTTCCTGTGTCCCTGGTTAGAGGCTGAGTGTCTGGATCCTGGTGTTTCCTCTGTCCTGTCTCCACCCCGTGCCACACCAGGCATTTGTGCTCACACTGTGTTTTGAGCTTTGACATCTAATGTGTCGTGTTTGTTTGGCACCCCTGATGCCGACTGGCGTCTCCGACACGTGTCCACCCTGGCGTTCTTCTTCAGCTCAGTATGGCTTTTCCGATGAGCATTTTTTGTTGCCTTAACTGCTGGAATAAAAAGCTAGGGTCCTACACTGACGACGGTCCCCAGCCAAGGGCATCTGCATGGCGAGTCCATTTCTGTTGTAGCTGCCTGCCATGCCAGGCACAACTCAGTCCTTGGGGGCTCACTGTCCTCGCTAAACCGTCCCCGGGGGTGTTTCTTGCCCAGCTCTGCGTAGATGGTTAGTTTAATGAAACACGGCTTCTCAAACTGCATCCCAGTGTCAAGGAGGGGGACAGAGAGGAGCAGCAGAGAGCACCCGCATGGCTTATGGGGTGCTCCATGGCCCGCAGGATGAGATGGGGCATTCTGTACGCCATGGCCTGGGGCACAGGGCGGCCTCATGGCCGGGCCTCTGCTGCTGACCTGAGGCTGCCTGTCACCGCTCTCCAAGATGGCACATTTCTTGCCCCAAGGCCAGTCCCGGCACTCGTGGCTTGGCCAGGGGTAGTAGCCCTGGGGACCCGTCCTGTCCAGAGAGGGTCATGGGTCTCCAGGCCCTCCAGGCCCTCCTGTGCGCCCGCCCTTGCAGGCCTGTGCTTCCCTCCCACTCACCCAGATGTGTTCCATCCAGTTCAAGCTGCACTGTTCCCCTCTCCTGGGATCACAGAGAAGCAAGCCCCACTCCTGAGCCCCGTTGTCCGGCCTTCTTTGGACAGGCCCACATGCCTGGGGCTGCCCGGCTCCATCTCTCCACCAGGCCTCCTCACCCTACTGTCCCCTGGAGTCAGTCCGGGGGCTGGAGCAAATCCTGACACCGAGTCCCACTCCGGGGAGGGGGTCAGCAGACACGGGGTTTAAGAGGCTCCCCAAAGACTCTGGGGCTGAAGCTGCCCACTCAGCTCTAAACTAGGGGCCAGCAGCTCTCCCCTAAGGGCCACTGATAGTTTAGGATTTACAGGCCGGATGGTCTCAGTCCCAGACCCTCAGCTCTGTCTCTCGGTGCAAGAGCAGCCACGGGCGACGCGTGGACAGAGGAGTGTGGCCACGTGGAGCTTCACCTAAGGACAAGCTGTGCGAGGGGTGGGGCTCGAGGCTCCTGGGGGCTGACCCTGCTCCGAGCCACCACCCTGCTCTTGTCTCCACTGCTCCTAGCAGGGGACACATAGAGTAAGGGTGAGGGAGTTAGGGTTAGGGGTTAGGGTTAAGAGGTTGGAGGTTAGTGTTAGAGGTTAGAGATTAGTGTTAGAGGTTAGGGGTCAGGGTTAGAGGTTAGGGTTAGAGGTTAGGGGTCAGGGTTAGAGGTTAGAGATTAGGGTTAGAGGTTGGGGTCAGGGTTAGAGGTTAGGGTTAGAGGTTAGTGGTTAGGATTAGGGGTTAGGGTTAGAGGTTAGTGGTTAGGATTAGGGGTTAGGGTTAGAGGTTAGTGATTAGGATTAGGGGTTAGGGTTAGAGGTTAGGGGTTAGGGGTTAGGGTTAGGGTTTAGGGTTAGAGGTTAGGGTTAGGCCTCCTGACCTCCAGCTTCCCATCTGACCTCCCATGTGCTGGTTGCTACGCTCAGAGCTGCATGTCACCCTGACTTCTTCCCTCCAGGTCTCACCTGTCTCGTCCCTTGTCCCCGCCCCCCTGGGTCTGAGTCACCAAGTCACCCGACCCGCTGGGCTCCAGGGTGACTCCGATGACCTCTAGGGTCTCGTCCTGCTCCTTCACCAGCCCGGGGCGGTGCTCACCTCTCACAGCCACCCCAGCTTGTGCAGAGATGAGAGAGCGGCCCAGAGTCTCTGCCCTCCCCTCGGTGTAGCGCCCTCCCTCTCTGAACATTGCTGCACGACCTCTGAAGTCGGGGGTCTCTGCCCTGCTCACCTCCGGCACATGGGTGCCATGGCTCGTGCCCACATCCAGTAGTGCTGGGGTGGGGGAACATGGCTTTTTACCCCAATCTTGATCCTTTAACGTCCCAAGCCCCCCCCAACAGTTGCAGCCCGAGGGGAGGCCTCCATGTGGCTTTGGCAGGGGACGGCCAGGCCAGGTCAGGCTGCCGGGAGCTGTCCCCTGGGCGGTCAGCAAGGGTCCCACCTGGAGGCATCCTCACCTGGACGCAGGGTGCCAGGGACCCTCTCCTTCTCCTTGTCCAGCAAGGGTTGGCAGGTGTGGCCACGCCTGGTCCTCTAACTCCTCCTGGAGGGGAGGGCCCTGCCCCCCAACTCTGCTGCCCCTGGAATGGGGGTGGGGGAGGGCAGGAGACGTAGGGTCAGCTGCCTGCCTGACCGGGTGCGGTGGCCGGGTCCTGGCTCCCAGGGAGGCAGCCCTGCCCGCTCCGGGGTGAGGAGCCACGGGCACCCACAAGTCTCTGCTTGCAGGTCACCTGCCACTCCCCGAACGGCAAGTGCCAGCTGAAGGTGAAGAGCAACACCTGCTACTGCTGTGACCTGTACCCCTGCCAGAGGTGGGTGGGGACAGGGAGGGCGCTGTGGCCCAGCCCCCGCCACTCCTGGCCCTTCCAGTGGCCGCCCTCCCCCGGCCTCCCTTCCTGCCCCAGTCCTGACGCTGCTCCTTCTGCATCTCCTTTAGTCCTCAGCATTGACGGGTGTCAGCTCCGTCTCACAGACAAGGAAACTGAGGCTCAGTGAGTGGGGGCAGCACTGTGAGTCTGCGATCGTCTCCTCAGTGAGGCTGTCTCTGTTCCCTCAGCCTCACGCATGAGCCTCAGGCTTTCCTACCCTGAGCTGGGACAGGATGGCTGGGGGTCCGGGGTTGGGTGTCCCCTCCCAGCGGGCAGGCTCTGGTGACCAGCATCCCTGAGGGCAGGCTGATTCTCCAGTTTGTGCAGCTGTTCACGTGCTGTCAGGATGGAGTGCAGGGTCCGAGCCCCTTCGTGGGGAACCAGACCCCCAAGCCTGCATCGTCTTTAAACTGTGTGAGTGGCTGGAGCACCCGCATTAAAACCAGTGGGAAAGTGGGCATTTGCTTCCTAGGGACCCCCCCTGGACTGAGAGAACCCAGGGGTTTAAGCTGCACCCCCTCCCCCAGAAGAGATCTATCCTATTTCCAAACCCAAACGGGAGGAGCAGCGTGAGCATGGGGATCATGGCGGTCACAGGGGTCATGGGGCTGCCCCTGCAAGTCCTCGCAGCCCAGGCTGCAGACCCACAACTGTGATGCCCAAGGTCCAGGGCCCAGACCACTGTGGGTCCATGCCAGGAGGGCCAGGACTACCCGCTGGGCGGTGAGTCAGAGAGCTCATATCAGTTCACACCCGAATGCTCTGGGAGCTACTGAGTCAGGCCCCACCGCCCCTTTGCCAGGGCCTGTGCTTGGGGAGGGGGCATGGGTGATCCTTCCTGCTCAGAGGTCCGGCTCCTTCCTGAGGTGGACGCCCAGACTCCCTGGGGACAGCCTTGTCCAGGCCTCAGGGTCACCCTGGCTGATGACACTCCCTTGTCCAGGCCTCAGGGTCGGCCGGGTCAATGCCCCTCCCTGGCATAACCTGCAGGGCCCTCTGGCATCTGTGGGCAGAGACCCGCAGCTCATCTGGGCTCAGTTTATCTGGCTCCAGCACCGCGTCCCCGGCCCTGCTCTGTCGTGGCGCGAGGCTGCCTCCTTGCAGCTGTGGTGATGCGTTGTCCCATGCTATGCGCAGCTCCGAGCACCCCCCCGCCTACTATGAGTTCGTGGGCGTGAACAGCTGTCAGGACGTGCTCCACCTGCACCGGCTGCTCTGGGCCTCGGCGGGGCTGAACGTCCTGGGCCTGCTCCTGGGCATCGTCACGGCTGCTGTCCTGGGGGCCTTCAAGGACATGGTGAGTGGCCCCCGGTGCCGGCCAGCGACAGCTCTCGAGTCAGACTGGGGCTTTGGGGCTCCTGTTCTCTGAGGTGGGCAAGCAGGTCTCACGCCCTCAGTTATAAATGGGGAAACTGAGGCTCATGGAAACTGCCAGCCACGTGTAATGAGGACAGCAGGCCTTCTCCAGCTGTTCTGGAAGTGGGGCCAGCTCTAGCCCCTCAGCCCTCCCCTCCACCCCCGAGGCCTGTGCTCGGTGATCCCGTTTAGGAGACGGGAGCTCCGCTGGAGGGGGAAACCACGGCTGCCCACTCTGCCGCGCCATCCCCACCATTCCCACCCCGACTGCATGTGGACCTGGTAGGTCTGGGGGCGTTTTCCCAAACCCTGATGTCACACGAGGAGCAGGGGCTTTGGATTTGGGCCCCGAGCGCCAGCTGCTCCAGGAAGCACTGACTGCAGGCCGAGCTCGAAGGCTGCCCCACCAAGTGTCCCAGTGGCAGAGCCTCAACTCAGCTCTCTGTTCACAGAAAACAGCTGGCGCTCAGGCTGGGCCTTAGGGCTGGGTGCTCAGGCTGGGCCTCAGGGCTGTGTGCACAGGCTGGGCCTTGGGGCTGTGTGCACAGGCTGGGCCTTGGGGCTGGGTGCTTAGGCTGGGCCTCGGGGCTGTGTGCTTGGGGCTGGGTGCTCAGGCTGGGCCTCGGGGCTGGGTGCTCAGGCTGGGCCTCGGGGCTGTGTGCACAGGCTGGGCCTTGGGGCTGGGTGCTCAGGCTGGGCCTCGGGGCTGGGTGCTCAGGCTGGGCCTCGGGGCTGTGTGCACAGGCTGGGCCTTGGGGCTGGGTGCTCAGGCTGGGCCTCGGGGCTGGGTGCTCAGGCTGGGCCTCGGGCCTGTGTGCACAGGCTGGGCCTTGGGGCTGGGTACTCATGCTGGGCCTCGGGGCTGTGTGCACAGGCTGGGCCTTGGGGCTGGGTGCTCAGGCTGGGCCTTGGGGCTGGGTCCTCAGGGCTACGTGCTCAGGCTGGGCCTCGGGGCTGTGTGCTCAGGGCTGGGTGCTCAGGCTGGGCCTCAGGGCCGGGCAGAATCCTCTGCTCCCGTCCTCTCCCTGTAGACTGGTTGTTCCAAACCAGCGCCCTCACATGGTGCGTCTGTCGTGGGGACTTTTCCTGCTGACACCATTTCAGAGTGTCCACTCTCAGCAGACTGTCCAGGAGCACAGCAAGGTCAATCGCAGGTCGTGTGTCTGCTCAGTCCTGCCGTCCGGCAGCCTGGTGAGGGTGGTCGGGTCAGTGGGCAGCGGCGGGTTTCCAGAAGCAGCTGTGTTCATCAGAGTTCACAACAAGGCTGCTGGTGCATCCCCTTGGGAAGGTAGCGATGCCCAGAAGGGCCACTGGCTACATTGACCACAGAGTTGTGTCCAAACTCTGCTCTGGACAACTTTCTTTCTCAAACCCAAATCTCTGGGGCAAGAAGCAGGAAGACAATTCTGTAAAATTCTGCAAATTTATGAAGCAGATGCTCCCAGAAGTTAATGGATTTCACAGTTTCAAAGTTATTTGAAGGAGCGAAGGCCCTCCCTGAGCCCCCAAACTGGGTGAGCCCTCTCAGCGTACGCGGGCTTCCATGTCAGGCCACGTGGTCTTTGTCGCCAGGCGTGAGCCCTGCAGGCGGGGCGCGAGGTCCCGGGTCTGCAGAGGGTCCCCAATGCTGGGCCACCCGGTGACATGGCAGGGGAGGCACACTGAAAGATGCAGGTGGAAGGTCCTGCTAGCTAGTGGGGTCCTGCTACCCACGCGGCCGGGCAGGGGTAAGGAGGTGACGAGGGCTCAGGGCAGCTACAGGAATCCAGGGCCGAAGCCAGTGGGCTGCCAGCCCCACAGACAGAGCCAAGCTGCCCCAGCCTAATGTATTGCTCCCTTGTGGGAGACGCTTGCCTGCCCCGTTGTCCCCATACCTCAAAATGGCACAGATGCTGAGCAAGGCAGGCCAGCTCCTCTCAGACCCATAGCATCCTCTGAGACCCGGGACCCGTGACCCTTGACCCTCGACCCTCGCCCCTCGCCACCCCTGCTTGGCCTGAGCTCCCAGGTCTCCAGCTGCAGCTGTTCCCTTGGCCAGGATGCTCCTTGCAAACCAGGCCTCAGTCCACTGACACCGCCTCACCCCTCGGCGGGCCCGGCTCCGGCTGTGCCAGGATGTGCTTGCTCAGCCTGTGCACGCAGTGGGCCCGCAGCAGCGGCTGTTCGTGGCTGTGGCATCCGGGCGGGTGGCATGCCAGACTTGCCCCAGGTTCTGGTCTTCTGTCTTCTGTCTCCTTGTTTCTGAGCTGTCCCGGTCGCTCCTCAAGTGTGACTGACTCACGCGGCCTCGTTGAATCCGTGATGGGCAGCAGATCTGTGTTGAGCTCCTGCTGGGCAGAGGAGGCCATGCTGGGCCTGGCGGGACTCACACGCATGTTGTGTGATCCGCTCCTCGGAGGTGGGGCCTGCATTCCTGGGGGTCCTGGAGGGGACGTCTGAGCACAGGACGTGCAGAGGGCGGCCCTGGGCGGGGCGGGGAGGTGAGGGCTGGGTTACAAGGTGGCTGACCCCTGCGCTGACCCCTGGGTCCCCCCTCAGCTGGGAGCAGGTAGAGGCAGCTCGGGGTGCATCCTTGCCCCCAGGCCTCCTCCCCTGCTGGTCAACTTCCGCTGGCCCTTCTCTCCTGGCCCCGCTCCTCAGGACCCCGCACTGTTCCCTTCAGGGGGGTGAGGGGTTTCCAGACAATCCTTCTCTGCTGTCCTGCCCCCTCCCCCCACAGCCGTGCGGCCCCACGGGGGCTGGGTGGGAACCCAGGCCCTGTCCTCTCAGGGAGGGACAAACCTCTGGTCTGGGAACCACCCCCAGTGCCCGGCGCGGGTGACCGGCCTCCCTCTGGGGAAGGTCCATCCTACGGCCCCTCGTCCTCTCTGGGGACGGGCGGGCGGGGTGAATCAGGGCCCGTGTCCTGTTCTCCTTTTGACCTTAGAGCTGACAAAGGCGCGGTGTCAGGTCTGGCCCTGGCTGGGGTCCCAGGAGGCGGCAGGATCTGAGCGCAGCTCTGAGGTCGCCGCCCTGTTGCCCAGGCACCCGCTCCTTAGCCCCCCAGCTCCTGGAGACGAGGAACGGGGTTTTCTTGCTTTTTCAAAAAGTGCACCAAAGAGCTCTGAGCCCGAGGTGGCGTCTTGGCAGATCCTTGGGACAAACAGGTAGCAAACAGGAGGAAAGACGCCCAGCTTCCAGGCGTTCAGTTCTGGTTCTGGAGACGTGGATCCGAGGACTCGATGTCTCTCCCTCGTGGACTTGGGGGAACTGACCCCACCTCCTGAACGGTTGGAAGGGGGGCTTCCAGGGGGATACCGAGGGGGGCCCCGGCTGACGCACCTCCGTTCTCGTGGCAGGTCCCTGTGTCCCAGCTGGCCTTTGGCCGGTCCGCTCTGCCTCAGATCCTCTACAACCCCGCCCAGCAGATCCTGGCCTACACCGGCTTCTGCCCGGTGCCTGGCAGCCTCCCCACCTGCTCGTCCTATCCGCTGCCTCTGCAGGTAGGTCCAGGTCGCCGGCGAAGCTGCTTGCCCACATGACAGCAGCGGGCGCCCAGGACAGCCCTGGTCGGACAGGACGCAGGGTGGGGACTTGGGCTGAGGGAAGATGGGGTGGGCCTGTGGCTCCCCTCTCCCGATTTAGGTGACAGGGGTGGTGGTGCCCATGTGAAGTGGCAGGAGCGTCTGGGGATAGACAGGGCGGGGACTCCAGGCCGCCCCACACAGCCCCCGACCACGGATGTTAGACACCCCATTTGGCATTTTGGCATCCTTTGCTCTGCGGGGCCCTGGTGGCCCAGCCATCGGTGTCCCTCAGGCCTTGAGCCTTTTCTAGCCCATGACCTGGTCCCACAGAAGGTTGCTGTGGTTTCCTGGCCAGAGTAGCTGGGGACATCCCACCCCGGGTCCTGGGAGCACAGCAAAGTCTCATAGGCGGAACCAAATGGATCTGCCAACATCCAGCCACACTTCCCTGCGGAGGCCGCATTTCATGGAGTTCCCCCAGCACAACGCCACTGGCCTTGGGGCTGTGGTGGGAAGAAGGACCTTGCAGGGGGAAACCGAGTCCACAGACTGGCTTTGCTCTGGGCTCCATTTCCATTGGGGTTTTGGTCTGTCGGTGGTTGAAATGGACCTTGATGACCTGTCACCGTGTGGACTCCAGACCAGGGCCCCAACCATGGCGCTGTCGACACTGGGGCCAGGTGTTGGGGTGGGGCTCCCTGTGCACTCGCTGTAGGGTGCTGACAGCATCTCTGGCCCCAGCTGCCTGCACACCCCTCGTTGTGTCTCCAGGCTTTGCCCTGTGTCCTCAGGGGGCGAAGGTGAGAACCACGGGTCCAGACGGCTCCTCTGGCCTCCACTTTGGGCGGCGCAGCCAGCGGACTCCGCACACATTCTTTGCAAATATTAGTGACACCAGCAACCACCACCAACTTCTAGGAGGCTTACGATGTTGAAATACGAGAGTTCCCATGTTGCTATGCTCGGGTGGGGGGCTGTGGGTGAAGTGGGGGCGGTGGCTCAGCCCTGGTCCTTTGTCGTGAAGTGGCAGGTCTTCATATGTCACCTGAGGGGACCAGCGCCCCATGAGCAATGTTGACAGGCAGTGAGACCTTCTTCGGAAAAATGGCTTCTCGGGAGGAGGGTGTGCGCAGCCCCCAGCCTGACCTGTCTGGACAGAGAGGGGTGTCCTGAGACAGGACGCTGTGCCAGCCAGCCAGGTCTGAGCGGGGACTGAGATGGACGTGGTCCCATGTGCCCCGTGGAGGGCCTGCGACCCCGAGGCCCCTCAGCTCTGCAAACCTCTCTTGCAGAGGAGCCATGTCTGTCCCAGCCCGCCGCCCGGGGCACCGCGTGACCCTTGCAAGGGAGCTCTGTGGAGCCCTCCCCAGATCCACCAGCACGTGCGCTGGAAGTGGGTGTGTGGGGCTCTCTGAGGCCCAGGATGCGGGGGCGCAGAGTGCCGAGGAAAAGCCCCTGGGCATGAATTTCGTGACAAACAGGCCCCTGGTCTGGTGCTATCTCCGTGTGGAAGGAACACGTCCCTTCTTCCCCTGCCTCAGTTTCCTCTGCTCGCCTTGAAAGTAAAGCTAGAGGCCGTGCCTTCTGGGTGTTGGTTGGCGCTTTCGAATTCTCGAAGGAGGACCCGACGCGGCAGCCCCACCTAAAGTCTCCATGAGCAGCGGCTCACAGGCCGGGCCTCGGGGCCTCTTCCTTCCGGGGAGGGTCGACCAGTTAGCCAATCAACAAATCCTGAGCTGGGGCCCAGGCCCTAGTCCCATGGGGACCCATCGGGCAACTCCTGAGTCCAGGGCACATGGGGCCCTGTGAGCACGTGTCTCCATCAGGGTGAGGGCTGGCTCAAGAGTGAGTCTTCTCCACTTCTGTGATGTGGGAAGGAATTTTCCCGAGGTTCAGAAATGCTGAGAGCGTTTGCCAGCAACCCCTTAGTGCTCGCTCCTGAGGAGGCAGGTCCTGGTGTCACCTGCAGCCTTCCCGGACGCCACCTACATCCCTGCTCTGGGGCATCTTCTCTGGTCCCCAGCATGGGAAGGGCCCTGTCACTTTGGCCGTGACCTGCCTCCTGGGGCTCTGCTCTGCCTTCTCATCTTCCTGGTTTGCCAAACGCTGGACCTGAGGCCACAGCTGCAGGGAGTGTGGACCAGTGGCTGGCTGGCCACCTTTGGTCACAAAAACCAGCTTGGGAGATGGGCAGATGCAGAGAAACACACACATCACATGCAGGTTGCATCGAGCCTGTCATCACATCACCCACTCCAGGGGCCCTGCAGCCGCTCACGCACACAGGGATGCGAGGTGGGGAGAGATGTGCGTGGAGCTCGGTGACGGGTGCTGAGCAGGCGGAGCTGCACCAGCTTCTCCCCGGGGGCCGAGGCTGTCTCATCAGGGCGTCAGGGTCCATGTGGAAGCCTCCACGTTTGGGCCGGTCCATCACCAGCCTCCTGCAAGCTGGGCTGTGAGGGAGGACGGGGAGGGCACACCCCTCATGCCGGCCCTGCCTCATCCTGGGCACTGCTGGTCCTCTGGGGCGGCAGCAGCCGGGCGCTCTCGATGGGTCTGGGTCCTGGCGTCGGGTGCAGGTGGTGGCCCCCTCTTGCGGGGGTGACGTTTTCCCTCTGGAGACGCCTCCCCGTGGGAGTGCGGGCATGGGCGTGGCTCCCACCATGCATGCGTGCTGGTGGATGGATCCGCTGTCGTCTGGGTCAAGTTCCGTCCTCATCCTCTGGCTCTTGACAAGCAGCAGATGCTCCCAGTTCAGCCTCCCAGGGATGCCCCCCACGGCCTGAGCAGCTTTTATCGCTGGCGCATGTGGGAGCTTAATTACATGCACGTCGGTAATCAGATTTCGAGGAGATGACAAATCAATGAGGCTCGTGTGTTTCCTTAGGAGAAAAACAACAGAAGTGAAGCTTTGGCTCCTGCCGGCCACAGAGAAGGAAAGGGGATATTTTAAGTGCTCTGGTAGTCATTAGCTGTTAAGCAGACTCCCGTGTGGCAGCAGGAGCGAGACGGCTGTGGGCGCTGTTTCAGGCAAACCTCACAGGGGCCACCTTCTGGCTCCCAGCAGTTGCCTGGTCAACTTGGGACGGGCTCGGTGTCGGTGAGTTTGTGAAAAAGGCCGCAAGCAGGCGTTGAGCTGGCACCCCATAGCCAAGGGATTTATGTCCGCTTCCCCCTGGGGCCGCCTGTGTGGGCAGAGCCTGTCCCCAGTGGGGCCCCGTCTGTGGGGAGGTTTCTCCACGGTTCCTGGCCGTTCGCTCAGTGGTTCATAGCACTTCCCTCCGTGGTCCGTGTGGTTTACTCTTAGGCTTATGGTGGTTTCCTCTGTGGTTTGTGGTGGTTTCCTCATGGTTCGTGGTGGTTTACTCTGTGGTCTGTGGTGGCTTACTCCATGGTTCATGGTGGTTTACTCTGTGGTTTGAGGTGGTTTCCTCATGGTCCATGGTGGTTTACTCCATGGTCCATGGTGGTTTCCTCACGGTCCATGGTGGTTTCCTCATGGTCCATGGTGGTTTACTCCATGGTCCATGGTGGTTTACTCTGTAGTTTGGGGTGGTTTGCTCCGTGCTTCTCTCAGCTCCTCATTTCTAGCAGAGAACCGAGCAGGCACGTGCGTGACAGGAGCTGGGAGCTTCCAGCAGACCTGAGAGAATGTTCTCTAGAGGTTTGCTTCATCCCCTGTGGTCAGAAGGAAGTGCGAGTTTGAGAGAAAGAAAGAAAGAGGTGAGGGGGGCCTGTGCCGTTGAATCTTGAAAGGCGGAGCTGTGGGCCTGGAGTCGGTGACATTCTTGTCTTCAGCTTCAGCTTGTGTGGAAATCCTCCCTTCAGAGTCCCGAGGTCCCGGGCTCCTGGGCCTCCTCGGGGAAGTCTCCAGAAGAGGGGCGCAGACGGCCAGCCTCTCGGGGCCCTGGGCACCTGTTGGGCCAGGAACAGCGGGATCACATGGCACCACCCAGGCGTTGGAGTCCTGGAACATTCCTTCTGCTATTTCACAGAAAGGACTGTCTTCTCTGTTTATTTAAATATCGGTTTTAAGTGGGCGTTTTTAGCCCTTAGAATTTAAGGAAAAAAAGAAGTAAAATTTAAGAGGTTTGTTGGCGGGCGGAGGAAAACTGAAAATTATATTGATTTAAAATCTGTGCCGTGCCCCAACGTTGGTCTTCTCGGAGTCACTTTTACTTGAGACTATGTGTATTAGTCAGGGTTCTCCAGAGACGTAGAACTGACAGGATGTTTGCACATATATAGACACAGACATGTCTATAGATATAGATATAGATGTGTGGATGGAGAGACAGAGAGTCCAAAACTGCGGGGCGGGATGGCAGACTGGAGACCCATGGGAGAATGGATCTTGGAGTTTTGAGTCCGAAGTCAGTCTCCTGGCAGAGCTCCCTCTTCTTCAGGAACCTCAGCCTTTTTCTCTTAAGGCCTTCAACTGATTAGATGAGGCCCACTAACACATGGAGAGTATCTGCTTTATTCAAAGTCTACTGATTTAAATGTTAACCACGTCTAGAAGACAACTTCACAGGGACCTTCAGACTAGTGTTTGACCAGACATCAGGGCATCATAGTCCCGCCAAGTTAATGCATAAAAGTAACCATGACACTATGTTGAAACTGTTGATGCCCGTGGTCTTTCCTAAACATATGCAGGGTTGGGTGGACCCAAGGGCTCCCAAACAAGCTGGACCACCTTTTCCTTGGACACGTCCCCATTTCTGTGCATCCTGGTGCCAGTTTGGTAAAAGGCCACCCCTTTGAGAGTCGAGGCTCACGCACAGTAGGTGAAGGGGCAGGAGGGCCGAGGGGTTCTGCAGACGAGACGGGTGTTTCACATGCCCTTCCGGGGCGCCTCTGCAGGCAGCTGCAGGAGCAGGGTTTGTGCAAAGGAGGCCCCAGCTGGGCGGAATCCGGCCTTCCCTCTGGCCCCACTGGGAATGTGCTCTAAGCAGGGAGCAGTGCCCAGCAGAAGGGCTGGGTGTGGCAAGGACCCTGAGTCTGGGAGGGAGCCCGAGCCCCCAGTGGGCTCTTGGAGAGGCGCGTGGCGCTCGAGTGTTCTGCTCCACGTGGACTGTGTGAGTGGCTGGCCCTCTCCACTGACTGAGGAAGCCTTCTCTGTTCAATTGCAGCCTTCCGGCAGCGTCCCAGCCTCGCCTCCCACCGACCTCTCTCTGTCCGAGGACGCTCAGCCTCCATCCCAGCCCAGCTCCAGCCTCGTGCTCCCTCCCCACGCCCCGCCTCTCTATGTGCCAACCCACTTCCTCCCGGGGGAGAAGCCCCCGCCCTACACACCCTGACATGGAGGGAGTCCATTGAAAAATTATTTTTTTGGCTTGTGGAAAAACAAAGCAGCCTCTACAAACCCTGCTTCAGTGGCCAACCCCCTGGAGACGTCAGAAGAACGTTCTGGAAATCCACACCTCCTTCCCTCCCTGGGCACATCCGTGGCAAGCAGAGGCTGATGGTGGGGACAGAGCCCCAGGGCGCCAGGTGGCATGTCCAGTCGGCTGACTGGCCCAGCGTGTAGAGCAGACGGCAGATAGAGCCGCAGTTTCCTTGTGGCCTCCTTGCTCCCGCAGCGTCGTCGCTTACAGAAGCAAAGCTTCATTTCCCCACATTCTCCTAATCAGTTATTACTGTTATTACGTTTCAAAGGGAACATGCCTTGTAGCATGTGTGAGGATGGTTTTTAAGGAAACGTGTGTTCACACATTTACACGCGTGTGTCCCAAGAAGGGCGGCCTCCGCCCTCGGCTGTGTGCTCCTGGCATCATTTGCTCAAGACGAGAGATGCTCTGGCTCAAATATAAACGCTGTCTAAGCTGCAAGTGGGCTGCGGTCTGTGTGTGTCTTTTCCAAACCCGCGTCAGGGTGGAGACAGGGTTGCCCCGAGGCTGCGTGTCTCACGTTAAGGTGGCCATCATCCTTCACGGAACGTTCTGGAGGCTTCCCTGTCCCCTCTGCATGGCAGCCCGCAGGGGGCGCCTGTGCCTGTAGAGCTCAAGCCCCTGAGATGCTCTAAGTGGCCACTGAAGCAGGCGGTCCCTGAGGCCCTTCAGCTGGGCCCTGGGCAGCTCTCCCATTACAGACCCGCGGCTGTTGACCGACGGCCCTGCCTGCGCTCTCTTCCCGTCACCCCCAACGCCCCCCGCTCCCCCCCACCCCCCCACCGCCGGCCACGAGGTGGAAATGATCACGTCCTGGGTCCTGGTCGAGTGACAGACCACATCCCAAATTGCTGTCCTGGATCACTGGGGAACAGATGGGGTTGGGGGGTGGGTGTTTGAGAAGATGCAGTCTCCCATGCCCCCTGCTGGTCGGTGCCTCTGACGCGGTGTCCCAGCCGGCACAGGACCCCACACTCGGTTCGCAGAGTCTAGAGCTTCCTCTGAGGAGGGCACTGCCCCCACTCCCGTCAGGAAGCGACCTCATGCTGGGGAGCAGACACCACCCCCAAGTCCAGTTGGTCGACCTTAGAGATGCTGTTTGTCCCCACAAGAAAGCGACAGGCCTGGTCCCCGCTCTGGGAAGCCACTGAGCCGCGCTGACGACCCACTCGTTACATTCCGACTCCCCAGCCCCAGTGTCCTCCAGCAGAGCCTGACCTGCTCGTGGGCCCGGCAGCCCCTGCCCCGACGACAGGAGGCAGCCCCACCCATGTCGCCGAGGCCCAAGGGCCCCCTCTGGGTTTCTGATGGGAACCACTGGCGCTCTGTTGTTAGGAGGGATGTCCCTTTTATGAGTGGAACGCTGTGCAGAGTCGGAAGACAGCATGAAGACAGGCACGCAGAGTCAGAGCTCGTGTGGGGCGCCTGCGGGGGGCGGGGTCCTAGGCACCAGGGGCCGATTCCCAGGCTCTGTCCCGCACACCCGACCCAATATTGGTCATTATAATAAGCCGGCAGGACCGGCTTGCTGCGCTGTGGCTGTGTCAGGTTACACAGCAAGGACCTCAAAGGGCAACACTCATCTGCCTGGAGTTTAAGACCCAACCGTCCAACCGAGTCAGGAGGGCTTCGGACTCTAAGACGTTGAGTCCTTGTGGGGACCTCCCTGTTCCACAAGCTCCTGGAGAGGGGGCAGGGCACGCTCTGGGGGCTGTGAGCAGGGAGAGAGGCGCCACCTCCTGCAGCTGGGGCTCAGTGACTCTTCAGGGTCCACTGCAGCCCCAGAGCTGACAGCCCTGGAGCCGGGTCGCAGATCTGGCAGCAAGCCTGTGTCGGTTGGAACCACGGGCACCCCAGAACACAGGGACAACCCTTGACCTCTGTGCACGACCCAGGGTCAAGATGCAGAAGGGTGTCAGTGTGACCCCAGACTGTTCCCACCAGCTTCGCCTAAACCTGGTTCTGTCGGCCCTGCGGCATGCTTTAATCTTGCCTAGAGCCAAGAGCTGATAAAAAATTTTAAACTCCAAGGCCAACAATATTGTTCTTGCCCACAAAAATGTTTTCATCCCTCGCCCCAGCCACGAGGAATGTGAACAATTCAACTCCCAACCTGGTGGTGGCTCCCTGCCACCACTCCCAAACCCAGCTCCCCTACCACCTGCACAGGCATGTGCCCACACCTGACCCAGTCCCAGGGACAAACCCCACCCCCTGCACAGGCATGTGCCCACCCTGACCCAGTCCCAGGGACAATCCCCACCCCCTGCACAGGCATGTGCCCACACCTGACTCCAGTCCCAGGGACAATCCCCACCCCCTGCACAGGCATGTGCCCACACCTGACCCAGTCCCAGGGACAATCCCCACCCCCTGCACAGGCATGTGCCCACACCTGACCCAGTCCCAGGGACAGCCCCCACCCCCTGCACAGGCATGTGCCCACACCTGACCCCAGTCCAGGGACAATCCCCACCCCCTGCACAGGCATGTGCCCACACCTGACCCAGTCCCAGGGACAAACCCCACCCCCTGCACAGGCATGTGCCCACACCTGACCTCAGTCCCAGGGACAGCCCCACCCCTACACTCAGCCCCTGACCCTGCCTGGCCTGCAGTGCATACTGCATGCTGTTCCCTGGGGGGACTCATCCCTGCCAATGTCTTCACCTTCACAGTGATGGACTCTGGCCAGGCCCTGTCTGAGTCCTCAAGCTCCTTGGAACCTGGACCCCAGCTCTGATGGGCACCACCCTGGGTGGGTCTCAGTGGGGCCTCTCACCCTGCCCTACCCACTGCTGACTCACTGTGCCTGATTCTCGATGGCAGACTGTGGTGGGCGCTCAGGGGACCTGGGCTGGAGGCTGTGTGGTGGGAGGCGTCAGGGGGCTGCCAATGGGATTGGGTTTCCCTTTGGTGTAATGGAAATGTTCTGGAACTAGGTAGTGGTGATGGCTGGGCAACCTTGTGAACATACGAATAGCCCCTGAGTTTACATGCTAGAGGGTGAGCATTATGGTGTCTGGACTGCATGTCAGTGAGAAAAGCAGTATGATGGGAATGTGCGTGAAGCGCGTGGAGCAGAGCCAGGAGGCACGCATGTGCTCGGTGACGAGAACACTCGCCATCGTCACCCTGGAGAATGGCCCCCAGCTGGGTCCCAAGGGCCTGCGGTCACCCAGCACTCACCTCCCCGCTGCCTGGGCCCGTCCTCCTGCAGCCACACCCAGCCACCTCTGGGCACAAGGAGGGAAATACAAGGTGGTAGGAGCAGAGACCCCCTCCCAACTCAGGGAGGCGCTGGTCCACGCCGTCCCGACCACAGAAGAGGTTAAAGGCCGGGTGCAGGGCCTCGCTTGCTCAGTGGCCTCTGGGGCCCAGCTTTGGATGATTTCCCTTTTCTGCTTTCCGCAACTTTTTAATCCTGAAGTCTAATGCACATTCAGAAAGAAGACTTGAAGCAGAGGCGGAACGTGTGGCCCTCCCGGGGGGATGCCACGTGACGGTGGGGACCAGAGGTAGGCCACGGCCCCCTCAGGTCACAGCCTGTCCTGCCCTCCCTCCTCTGACCCTCACGCCAACCCTCCTGCTTTTCTTCACGTTGGGCCTGCCAACAGTGCTGCTCGGCTTGTTCTCAGCTCTGTAGGAACAGAATGGCTGGGTGTCCGGCTTCTTTTGTGAGGATTGTGAGGCACGGGTGTGTGTGTGGCTGTTCATTTGCGAGTGTGGTTCAGCTGGCGACTGTGTCGCCACGTAATGGCCTCTCGCCGGTGGTGGGCGCTGGGCTGGCTCTGGGTTTCGCGGCTCTGTGAGCCATTGTATGTATATTTGGGCACATGCACGTGGATTAGGGGCATGTGTCACCGTGTGGAGGTGCTGGCCCACGGGGTGTGCACTTCAACTTCACTAGACCACAGCCAACCCTTGTCCACGGGTCGAGCTGGCACAACCTTACCTGCAGTGTAGGGGTGTCTCCTGGTGGGTTTTTCTCATGGTGTTTGTAAATGTCCTAAATGCACACACAGCCTCCCCCACTGTCAGCATCCCGAGCAGATGGTGCATTGGTCACAATCGATGAATCTCCACTGACATGTCACCATCACCCAGAGTCCACGGTGTACAGTAGGGCTCACTCTTGGTGCTGTGCTTTCCCTGGGTTTGGACAAATGGATGATGGCATGTATCTGTCATTACAGTATCGCACAGAGTAGTTTCACTGCCCTGAAAATCCACCTGTTCATCCCCGACCCCAGCCCATGGCAACCACTCATCTTTTCCCTGTCTCCACATTTTCGCCTTTTCCAGAGTGTCATAGAGTTGGAATCATGTATGTGGCCTTTTCAGACTGGCTTCTTTCACTTAACAATATGCACTTCAGGTTCCTCCATGTCTTTTCATGGCTTGATCGCTCCTTTCTTCTTAGGTCTGAGTAATATTCAATTGTCTGGGTGGACCACAGTTTGTTTAACCACTTACTTGCTGGAGGGCATCTTGGTTGCTTCCAAGTTTTGGCAATTATGGATAAAGCTGCTGTAAACATCCACGTGCAGGTTTTCATGTGGACATACGTCTTCAACTCCTTTGGGTAAATACCAAGGAGCATGATTGCCAGATTGTATGGTGAGAGCATGTTTAGTTTCGCAAGAAACTGCCAGACTGTTTTCCAAAGTGGCTGCACCATTTTGCATTCCCAGCGAGTGAGTGCCTGTTGCTCCACATCCTCACCAGCGTCTGGTGCTGTCCGTGTTCTGGATTTTGGCCGTTCTAATGGGCATGTAGTGGCATCTCATTATTGTGTTAATTTGCACTTCCCTGGTGACATATGGTGCTGGGCATCTTCTCATAGGCTTATTGGGCATCTTTGTATCGTTTTTGGTGAGGTGTCTTTTTATATCCTTTGCCCATTTTTTAATTGGGTTGTTTATTTTCTAATTGTTGAGTTTTAAGAGTTCTTTGTATATTTTGGATAACAGTCCTTGATCAGATATATCTTTTGCAAATATCTCTTCCCAGTCTGTGGCTTGTCTCTTCCTTCTCTCGACAGTGTCTTGACAGAGCAGAAATCTTTAGTTTTAAAGAAGCTCAGCTCATCCATTATTTCCTTCATGGATTGTGTCTTTGGTGTTGTATCTAAAAAGTCATCACTAAACCCAGGTCATCTAGATTTTCTCCTATTGTCTTCTAGGAGTTTTATAGTTTTGTGTTGTCCCTTTAGGTCTGTGACCCGCTTTGAGTTAATTTTTGTGGAGGCTGTAAGGGCTGTGTCTGATCCACTTCTTTGCCTGTGGACGTCCAGCGTTCCCGCTCCGTTTGTTGAAAGACTGTCTTTGCCTCTTTGTCGGTCTATTGACTGTTTATGTGGGTCTGTTTCGGGGCTCTCTGCTCTGCTCCACTGACCTGTGTGTCTCTCCTTTCGGCAATGGCGGGTGGCACTGACTACT